AAAATAATTATCTCTTATCAAAAAATTACATAACAATATAATTACTTTAATATTTTTAATAAAAATTTATTAAAATAATATGATTTTAAATATCTTTTTCTTAATTTTTTAAAAATTCGCATAATGAACAATTTTCTCTTTTGTTTTCAGTAATATTGTATATATTTTTAGAAAGACTAAAAGACAAAAAAACCGACTACTACAGCTTAAACGAAGCCTAGATCGTGCCATTTTTCTGTAATTATGATCTCTTTTTAAGGGCAAATACGACACCCCGCAAGCTGGCATTCTTTTTCCATCCCCCAATGGTGGATCGCACACTGTTATTCCTCATCTAACCCTAGAAAAGGTGGAGGAGATGAAGAAGAATACAAAGGAAGAAAGGAATTTTCAGAGAAGATGAGGGCTACACATTAATTTTTTTGAGGTTGAGAGATCCAACTCTTGCTCTTTCTTTATTTTTCGATCTAAATCCCCTTGGAAGCAACAATCCATCAGTGTGAAACCCAAAATACAATGTTCGTTTTCTCGTGTTCGATTCGATCCTGGTTTTTTGGTTGAGTTTGATCAAAAAAAGTTTGATCCTTTTGGTTTCTTGTGAAAACCCCATCAATGATTTCGAACCCAAATCTCATTTTCTATGCCTGCGTTGCCAAGGGGCCAATAGTCCTCGCTGAGTTTTCACCCAAGGAACCCGGGATTGAATCCTTAGCTCAAAGATGCATCGAGAAAACACCACCTAACCATTCGTTGTTCTCTCATACCGCCTCCGGAAGAACCTATACCTTCTTAATCGATGACCCTTTTGCCTATTTTGCTATATACGATGAAACTCTCCACAAATCAGAGTCTGTCTGGTTCTTGAAGCGCCTAAGATGCGTTTTAGAGGAGTTGCTTGAGACAGGGTTGATTGCGGATGGTGATGATTTGACCTCGAATTGTTTCCAGTCGCAATTCAATCCAGTCTTCTGCGAGATGATGGCGTTGGATTTGGAGTCCGTGACATGCCCTGGAAGCGAATCAAGAGGAAGTCGAAACCCAAGTATTGGTTCTTCAAAAGGGAAGAATGGGGTGGCTCCGCCGCTAGGGAATGGCAATCCCGTTAAGGGATTAAAGAAGAAGAGGAGATTATCTGCAGAGGCTAATAGCGATTGGAAAGATGGGGGTGTAGAAAATAAGATGGATGTTAGTGATGATGGTAATGGTGTATGTAGAGATTTCCCGGCCCCGGTTTGTATGCCAAAGGGTGGTAATTTTTTCACAGGGGATCGTCAGAAAGCCAAGCAAATCTGGAGGAAGCATGTTTTGGTCGTGCTGTTTTTAGACTTGGTTGTATGTGCTGCTTTGTTTGGGATATGGTTGTATGTTTGCAGAGGCTTTCAGTGCATTGATGCTGATGGTTGAACCTCTGTTTCCTTTTGGAATTGTTCATATGGTTGTATAGTGGTTCTTGAATCCTGAGTGCAATTTCATTGAGAATCATTGACACAGGTCTGATTCTTACATATGCAGGAAGCTTGTTGTGTAATGGAATTGTAAGGATCCAAAAGCATTGTCTCGTTGTTGTTTTCAAGGGTTCAATTCTTGTTTCAACTTATACTTCTCCTAGTTTCTCGTGTACACTTTGTATTGATTACAGGAGAAGTGATATAGCCCATATTTTTCAGTTCATGGAGTGCACAATTACATGTAATTTATGAAACTGTTATACATACAGACTCTTGATTATCTCGCAGGTATTTTCTCTGATGTTCTTGTCTCTATTACAAGGAATTTAACTGTTGATGGATTTGCTTCTTAGTTTCTGTTTTTGGTCTTTAGTTGCAAAAGTATGATAATTTCCTACTTGCTTCTTCTCTCATGATTAGATGTACTTGGATTGTGTTTGGTTGGAAGTGATGTATATTCCATATTAAACTATGAAAAAAGTAAATTGAGAAACTTTTTTGAGAACTTAAGAATACGTATTCCAATAGTTATAATGAAGGAGTATGTATTCCTTTGGGGAGGTGGAGAATACTTATTTTTTAATTCATCTCTTAATCTAGTGGAAATTATAACTACTAAAGAATACTTATTCTTAACTTCTCAAAAAAAAAAAAAAAAGTTCCCCAATTTTGCCTTTGTTAAAGAGTTGAAACAGCTGTTATTTCGGTCCTTAATCTAAATGATTTGCATGCGAAGTGACAATGACTTGAGAGTTAGGCATGGTGAAACCTCATGTGATGGTGTTGACTTTGTCAATGTGGATGCCATGTGAGATGTATCCTGTTGCTCAAGATATAGTATTACTCTTCTTTTAGAATTTGTCTTTCAAGAAGCATTTCAGGAAATCCAAATGTCCTGAATCAAGTTTGTGTCTCTATCACATATTTTGGCCATTACTAATTCTAAATGACTTATTTCCCCTGCTATTAACTATTCCCATAAACTTCTCTGCAACCATCAAATTATGCCTTTATTTTAATGACTATCTTCCTATATCTGACACATGCTGCAGAGAGAGATTGATATTTATTCACATATGGCTGTTAATGATGTGTGTTGTCCCATTTGAGCAACAAAATGAATGGTACATCCTGCCAAGTTAAAGCTTTGAATCTATCTTCTGAATTTGATTAATTTATGGAAAGTATCTTAAATATGGGTTAGATTCTGAAGAAATAATCGGAGTTGAACAAGAGGTCTATGGTAGAAGAGACAGGCTTACAGACTTTGGTTCTAGTTCATCTCAAGATTCAATTGTTGTAGTTCCAAGAACACCTCAATTTTCTAATAACACCTCAATTTTCTAAGAACACTTCAATTTTCTAAAAAGGGTGTTGATAAGCTTTCTTCTTGGAATGAAAAGAGGTAAAGGTGATGTGGACCCTTTATGTATGAGAGTTATTTCATGAATTCAATATCTTACTATCTAAATTATATTAAGTTGTAAATCATAAATTATTAGATAAAAAAACTCACATTTATTTTTAGAGTCTCTCAATATTTAATAATTAATATTTTATAATGTAATGCAGTTAAGATTACAAAACACCTATTTAGTTATCTTATTTATGAATTTATCTATGTTTCTTCTACAAATTCATCTATCTGATCAAATGTCACAAATGAGGTCCCTCCAGGATGTCTCTTGTTGGTACTTGATATTATAAAATCTCAAATGAAAGTATCTATTTGTTTACAAGGAACTCATCTGTATTGCCCATTGGATTTTCATGTTTATTTTTTGCCTTTGTAAGTAAGAAAATTGGTCAAACTAGAGGAAAATAACAAATACAACCTTGCAGTGGCTTGCACTACTGGATTTTCTTTAAATAACTCAGAATTGCAGTACTGGATCCCCTTTTTTGTGCAGATCTGTACTACTGGACCTGATTAATGATTGAAAGGTTAATTTTACTTTAAAAAATATAAAAATTAAGGCATCTTAACTTAACATTAAAAATACCACACTTTTAATCCTATCTATACATGATAGATGATTTCGAACTCAAATTGAAATTACGTGGCATCTCACCCATTATATAACTTTAATTAAATCCTTGTAATGTCATGTCGGTCTTGATTTTTTACCTCCTTTTTCAACTTGAATCAAAATTTATTTTCGTTTAATTAGATGAAATTGTGTTTACGATCGGGCATACGAGTTACAAAATTGATGTTTTCATTATTTTATATTCTTTGTCTACATTTACACCTGAATCAAACATGGTCACTGTGGCATGGCTTGTAACAACATGAATTTTAAGTTTTTTTTTTTTTTTTGTTCAACAGAAAGCCCTATGATATCTACAAATACAGAAGAAGATACCTTATAATTTGTAAATAAAGTCTTACAACCATACATAACAACATAATCCTAACATGACTAAAGAAATATAAGTTAACAACATCAACTGTCAAATTTTTTTGGCCCCAAGCAAAACAAAATCAAATTAATCAATTGCTAGACAAGACATCTTCAAGTTAAAAATTGAACCTGAAACACTAAAGATTTCATCTTTATAACCCCACGCCTAGAAGAAACAATTAAAGTATTGTTAGATAGAGATGGCAAATAGTGGCTTGAGTTTGTTTGGAGTTGCGTCGTCGCAAGTCATGGGTCAAATAGACTAAGGTTAAATAAGTTCGCGGATTAGGAAAAGCACAAATGATCCAACAATTTCACGATTTTACAAGTTGACTCCGCCTGCATTGATTAGAGTCAAACGAGATTTTACAAGTTATTACTCCACCTGTACTGATTAGAGTCAAACGAGCCAGGTCAAAGATGCTCAGTTCACGGGTCAAGAATCCTATCTCTGTCCCATTTCAAGAGGATGGGTTGAATTGGATTAGTAAGGTCGGTCAACTTCTGCCATGTTTACCAATTGGAAATCTTAGGAGTCTCATCCACGAAACAAGCAACATTTACGTAAGCACAACTCGTGAAGCTTGGCAAGAAACCTCAAGAGCCTCATCCAGGAAACAAGCAACATTTACATAAGCACAACTCGTGAAGTTTGGCAATAAATAGACTCTCTATTCGAGAATTTGTCAATCGTACGTGCAGACAAAAAGGAACAGGACGGGTTTCTAATGTCTGTCTGATATTATACAGTCTTCTAAATGTCAAACCACAAAAACTAAGAAAGCAATGAGACCCAAAATGTACTAAAATGTAAAAATTTAAGTGATGCTCCTGGTAGCTGATTCTGCCATTAATTGATTTTTTTTGAAAGAGTACATAATAAACCTAGTTACCCACAAGGGGTAAGCTTCTTATTGCCAGCACCTCGAGGATTATCATCTTTCCAGTCATCCCATGCCCTTGCTTTCTCTTGGGCTGCATCATCGTCATCGTCGTCATCTTCATTTGGTCCCAACTTCTGATTGTCCTTATACCAAGCGGAATTAGCGTCTTCCATCATCTTAGCTGTTCTTTCCTGCCAATTATTCATCATTTGCATTTCCCTAAGACCGGCTTCCTCTATACTCATGGTTGGTAACCTGCCACCACATTAGCTTTTATTAGCATTTAAGCTACATTTGAAAGATATTTTTTTGCTAATTATCCTAACTATTTCCTGCTTACAACGGATTCAGTTAAAAAAACCTATTCCTGCTCATTACAGTAACATGTTTAACAGTTTACCTATGACCAGGCTGGAAAACTTGTGCAGCCATTCTTTCCCTCTCACTTGTTAGGCTTCCACCCACAAGGCTTTGAGGTCCAAATATCAAAGGCTGGTGTTTGTGGTCATGTGCCTGTGAGACCTTTGCTCTTCCTTCTAGAACATCTTGTGCAAATGTGGCACATGTGATAGGCTGTGCAGGTTTAGTATAATGTGCACGAGCTGCAGCATCACGATGCCATGCTTCTGCTTTCCTGGTCCGATCATCAAGTGCATCTTGTGAAAATTCCTTGTCCCCTTCCTGAAATTGAAGGGAAAATATAACTATAATGAATATTTTTTTTTAAACAAAAAAGGAGGATATACTAAACCTATTTTGTAATTCCCTTGATGACTCATGTTACTCATCACTGGAGGATGTACTCATAAGAAAGCATATAAAACGCAAACACAAAGCCACATTATTTGAGCACACAAGTACCTTTACTTGTATTTCCTTTATAGCAGAAAGCATTTCTTCTTCCTTCTTAAGCATTTCAAGTAGATCAAAAGCCTACAACATGGTAAGATGTAAATATATCAATGAGGAGCTTTGAATTGAAAGCTTAACATGGCATATTACACTTAAATAGAATACCAACCTTACAAGTGGCCAAAGAGATGGTAGTAAGCCAAGCCTGCACAAAAGGAATATTATGAATTAAGAAGAAAACAAACTTTCACAAAACTAAATAACTATCTATGAATAGTAAGTATATTTGAATTTATACTTCTCTGACAATATGTTTTAGGCATAACTGAACTGGTACAATTATTCAGCAGTCCAAGAGTAGGTTTATCAACCTTATTGGCATAAAAAAGAATTACTACAAGGGAGGACCATCTATCTAACAAACACAAAACAACCTAACTTTTATTATTTGAACTGAACCTTACAACTTTATTGAGCAAAGTATATGCAGGACCTATGTCACATAAATTACTTTCAAAACTCAAAAACCTCAAATGCTAATCTAGAATTGTAAAACCTCATATATGGCATCTCAAATTGTGGGATATCATGTAGTTACTTATATTATAAACTAAGCTATCTTGAATGAAATGCACATTCAGACTGTTTAGCTTATTTCCATTTTTGTGAGCATGTACGACATAAGCATTTTGACATGCATCAAATAAACAAATAAATAAATAAATAAAACAAAAACCAAGAGCAGGGCAGGCTGCTTTTAAAGGTATTTTTGAATTCCTCATCAAAGCCAATCCAGCACTTGTACAATACGGCTAACAACCAACCTCCCTTTCTTCCTCTCCATCATCATCTAGCAAATCTTCCTCTTCAGCCTCAACAGGAGTGGATAACGCAGCAGCTTTTGTTGAACGTCCACGGCGCTCCTTCCTCTCCCTTATTTCTGTCAACTTAGCTTCAGCAGCTATTTGGCGTTTGAACCGAGCAATCTAGAAATGGGCAGAAAAAGAAAAACATAAAATGCTTTAAGAGCATTTGCTTTAAGAGCATTTCCTACAGCATATCTATGACACCAAATACAAACAATGAAAAGATTCAAGCTTCTGGAGATGACTACCTTAAGGGCTCTTCTCTCAACAAAAGAATTTGCACCCCCTTGAGCAGATGCTTGCAACTCCTCTTCTGGTACAAGTTCCATTGCCTCGCAAAAAGTAAGGAACTCCTGAAAAATTCATTACCAAACTTTATGTAAGTTATAAGCAACATATAAACCAACTTCTACCATGACACTTTCATAATAAGTTTTTCAAGGAAAACTAATCCAATGAACAGTATTCACCTTCAATTTTGCCTGCGAAGTTTTAAGTATCTGTACCCTGTCATCCCCGGCAAGTTTTTCATTCAGCTCTCCAAGATAATATAGAACCTATAGAAAGCAATAATTAGGGGGAAAAAAAAAAACCCATGAATTAAATTATGGTAAATTGACCACTTATATATAATCTAGTGAAAAAGAGATTCAAAATTACTACTCCATTGAACCTTTTTAACTGTCTACATTTTAGTCTACCTCATACTCCCAACTTTGAGTAATGCCTTTTCTTATAACATATGAATGACAATTGAAATTTTTTTTATCAAATGAAACTATCCAACAAGAATACATACAGGGGAAAAAAAAATCAATTCTTCCAAAGTTGACATTTTTTTCATCAATCCAATCGATAAAAAATGGTAAGAAAGAGAGAAAAAGATGATCACCAGGATATACTTGAGATTGGCGGTGCTGATGTCGTCTTTGGTCTCATTGGCTGAGAACAACCCCAGCTTACTAACCATGTCGTCGCACTTCTCCAGCACTTCGCATCCTTTCCGAACGAGCTCCTGTGGACCGCCATAACCAACTCAATCAGATGATTAACACAAAACGGAAACAAATGAGTGAAGGAGCAAGAAATCACAGAGCGTACCTGATCAGCACCGGACTCCGTCGCCGCCAGATGGATCTTCCGAGCTTGCTCAAACAACGCTGGTAACGAAATTTCTTCCATCTTCAATTCACTCATCCTTTCCTCAATCAAAACCCAAAAACCCTAGAATTTGCACCAATTCCAGGAAAAAAAAAAAAAAAGAGAAAAATTTTAATTCGCTAATACGATTATATCGAATCTGAGTGAAAAGGCGAAGAAGAATAAAAACTGATTTTTTTTTTCAATCGCGAGTGGAGAAAAGTAGAACGAAAAAGAAAAGGTTAAATCTACAAATTTGGTCCCTGAACTATTATACAAACCCCGATTTAATCCCTAAATTAAAATAATTCTTGATTTAGTTTTTAAACTATGATAAGGACCCAATTTGATATTACTGTTTATTAATTTGTTTCAAATTAATTATTTTTTACAAAAAAAAATTAATGTATCCATTACTTAATAATGAAAAACAATAATTTAATTGTGACGCCACGGATACTATTTTAAGAATGTGGGATCTCCACCCAAATACTAGCACGCCACGGATGAACAAATCAGGTGAGCATGTCATAACCGAGAGTGGTTAGGCGACACAAATTTTTGTAACTAGTGCCACCTAAAATTACAAAGATATTTTGTTTAATGGTCAAAAACACTTGATAATTTT